GGGGGGAAACAGGTTAAAGATTAGGAGAGTAAAATGTGCTATTCCCAATAGTTAGAGTTAAGTGTGACACTGCAGCAGTCACACATCTGCTCTATAGCTCGAGAACTGAGCCATCACAAACCACTGATCGCTCAGCTCTCGGTTGTCTCCCTGCATAGAGCGGCGACTGTCAGTCACGGTCACTACTCCCCACAAGGATTCCCTCCTCACCTTTCTGTTTCTCCAGTGCTCATTGGAAAGAGAGAGAGATGGGAGGGGGCGGGCACAGCTGGATCTGTCTCTAGAAAGGCAGAGCCAGCTGTCAATCAGGCAATATCGTCGGGATACTTTCAGGTTGCAATGCTGAGTTTGGGTCACAGGGGTACATTAGTAAATGTACCCCTGTGACCCAATAGAGGACTAAAGCCAAAAAAAAATGTTTGGCTTTAGTTCTCTTTTAAAGGTGTACAAGAAGAGGAGAGATGCACGCAGGCTATGCAGAAAAAGTGTAAGGTGGTTAACAATTTGTGTAAATGTAAATAAAAAAAGAATTTGCAGTGGTAGACTTTTGAAAACAACCATACAATAACCTGACAAACGGAAAAATAAAAACTGTCATTGAAAACAATGCAAAAAGCTATAGCAAAAAAAAGTTTTATTATACACACTGGACCATGTGACAGTTGTGGTCACTTAAGAACTGTAATATTCCAGTAACCGCTCATCTGTAGGCTTCAAGATCTTCTTTTCGGCCATGTTGACCACCCAGCCTGGAGCAAGGCCAAAGAATATCTGCCGAGGATCCTTGCGCTGGCACAGCAGTTCATACAGTTCATCCTTGGTAATATCAGGAAGGAAATAACCATATTTCTGAGCTAGTCGCTTTCTTGCGTCGGCAACCTTTAGGGGATCTGCTAAGTAACCACGTTTTTCAGGATTTGTATAATATTTCACCAAGTCCTCTGGTGGAAGCATTCGTCTGAAAATAGGTTTACCACGCATGAAAAATGGGACTGGTTTACACAGAACTTCTGCAAGGGAGATCAATGGGTTTAGTAAATTAGAGAAATACATGATATGGACAAACAAGAAAACCCTAGAAAATACAGATTTCATTGTATCAAAGGATATTACTACTAAGTAACTACTAGTAAGTACTAAGGCAGGGTTGCATCTTCCGACAACTCTAGCCAAAATACTCTGCAAAATGCAAAGAGAATCTTCCTTTCCACATATTGAAAATACAGTTCCCAGAAAAAGTATTCGCCCCCTTGGAGGTTTCCATGATTTGTTATCATACAACACTGAAATTCCAGCACTGGAACGTGTAGAGGGTGGATATTGCTTTAGGGGCTTTTTTTTTTTTTAAAAGAGGGGGGTGGAAAGGAATTAAAGATCACTTGGCAGAGATCTGTTTTCACTTTGACCTGAAAGGGTCTATTAAGTTGATCAGTGTAAAAAATAAATCAATAACTCCACTGTAAATGAATGTTCTATCACAATAGATATTACTTTTTGGAATAACCTAAGAACGATATCTACAGTAGATAAGTAAGGGCTCATGTACATGGGCAGCTGAACCCAAACAGCGTAAATTCTGGGTGTATATTTTTTTACACTAGGGAGAGCCAGACATGCGGTGTACAGCCTCCCATAGAAGTTCCGGGTATACGTCGGGACTTGCATAGAGCACCGTATGCATATGAATGCACATCCCCGGGTGCCATTGACTTCTACAGGAGGCCGTACGCAGCATTTATGGCTACCCGACGGGGGAAATTTATGCTGGAATTTACTTGGAATGGATCCAACTGCCCATGTGCATGAGCCTTTTAGAATATTTATCAAATTGAGGCAACTTTCATTTTTTAACGGTCATTTTTAAAGACAGGGAGAACTTGGCACTGGAAACTTGGAGAGATAATGGAAGCTTTTTTTTTTTTAATTAAATGAAATGCATTTAATGACGAACGTATTTAATGAGATATTCATAACATACTAAACTACTGCTCCTAAGCCTGTGAAGCCCTGTAATTCCTATTAACGGGAATATGTGGTAGTTTTCAAAACTCTCCCCTATTGCCATTTCAACATACAATGCAACTTACCAAGGCTTCGTGGATCATAGAAACCAGTTGTTAGAACGCCACCATTTTTTTCAATGGCTGCAATCGCCAGCTCTGATGCCCACTGGACTTCAATGTTAACTTTGGCACAAAACAAATCAGCTCCCTAAAACAGGAAAATATTGACAAAGTGGTCTGATTAAAAAAAAATTAGACACTAAAGCAGTGGTAGGCAATCTTGACACTACAGTTGTTGTGAAACTATAGGTCCCATGGGGCACTGCAAGACTACCACAGAGCCATAATGGGATTTATAGTTGTACCGCAGCTGGAGTGACAAGGTTGCTTACTCCTACAGTAAAGTATATTTAAAAAAATAAACAAAAATTAAAATGTAATGCACAAAAACAGAAAATACTAAATTTTTTGGTAACATAAAAGATGGGGTCATGTCAGGTAAATAGATACCAAACATGGCAAGCTTTAAAATTGCGCTCGTGAAGCCGCCAAAAACTTAAAATATCCCAAATTTCCCATAAGGGACACTTTAAAACGCTTTTACCGCTCATCTGTTTAGTGCCAACAGTGATTGATGGCCCTAGAATTATTGCTCTCACTCCGACGTTCACGGCGATATGTAACATGCGTATCGCAATTGTCGTTTTCGCATTTGTAGGCGCGATGCGTGTATGTGTGCGCACGTTGGGGCGGTGACTTAAAAAAATTTTTTTCCTTTTTCTTATATGTTATTTTAAATATTTTTAAACTTTTTTTTTTCCTTTACACTACCCTTATTGCTATCACATTGGGGGCTAACAAGCCCCCTATGTTATAACAGATAGGGTGTGACAGGTCCTCTTTATGGAGAAATCAGGAGTCTTTCAGACCGCTAATGTCCCCTAGGGACCCCACAGAAGCTGAGGAAGCCGAGATCTGCTTCCCCAGCTTCTTCTCCTGGCTCTAAGGGCCGGAGAATGTACAGTGACACCGGAAGTGATGTAATACACATCACTTCTGGGTCCAGGGATCGGAGGAGAGATCAGAAGCTGGAAGCTGCTGAATCTCTCCCCGATCATTGCGGGGAGACCCGCCGAGCCGGTCCTGGGAAACGCACGGGGACAGCAGCGCCGAGTACAAACGATCCAGTGGCTGTATAGACGCCGGATCGCTTGTAAAATTAACAGCCATCGCTCGCTGTTAAAAATTACACCAAGAACACAACTTCCTCTTTAATATGACAACACAGCGTATTTTTGGCTCTGAATGCCACAGCGGTGATGCTGCACGTTGTACTTCATCAGTGCACATCACCTTACACCAACACCGTGATTTGATCTGACTTGATTAAGAAGGCAAATTGCCTGGTGTCAGTCAGCCCTACCCACTTGATGCATTACAAATAACCACAGACCTCTCCTTCCCCTCTCATCATCTCCATAACACCCCACCCCAATGGTAGACACGCAGAGTGCATATCAATGACTATTTTTTTGCACTTATTGAACAGATATAACAAAACACTTTCAATGGCATATTTAGCAACCCAAAAGAAAGCACATAAGAAAAGTTCATTGTTAGGGTTTATATACACTCACATACACGACTGAAGGCGTTTTGTTATATCTGTTCGATAAGTGCAAATAAATACCTATTGATCATGTCAGAAATTCAGAGCTGTCCTGTGCTTTCTGCAAATTCCTGTGTTATCTCTTATTTTACAAATGCACCAGGAAAATTCACGATAGATCGATAGATAGATAGATAGATAGATAGATAGATCATATTTATCATCAAAAAAAACAATAATAAATTCACCATTTTACAAATAATGATAAACACCTTTGCTTCGGCTTTTAGGCTAATAAAGCTGCCTAACACATTGGTGGACAAACAGAACATGTGGGGGCAAAAGGAGAAGTCTCTCCTTCAACAGATTTAAGCAGTGTGCACTGCCACTGGCATATGCTATTAGGGGAACCGTGCGATGCGCCGATTTCAGTGCATCACACTATTTTTTCTTTTTTTGATCCTTGAATGAAATGTCACAAAGTGATATTTATTTCAGATCTATTCACTTCAGCTCAAGTGATGCAGTGTAGTGCGTTGCAACAAGCTGCGGTGATGCTGCACGTTGTACTTCATCAGTGCACATCACCTTACACCAACACCGTGATTTGATCTGACTTGATTAAGAAGGCAAATTGCCTTGTCTACGCATTAGGACTGTGCTGGGCAAGGTTAACCCAATGTACCTGGTGTGCAGGGGTCCTTAAATTGAAATTGCTCAGTGGCTGGGATTCAGAGCTCCACCAGTACTGGAAGGGTCATGCAAGGGTATATGTAGACGCCTGTATTGTACTACTGCAGCCAGTAGGTCAGGACAATACTGATGCCGATGCCATGCACAGCCATTGCCATTATATTTTGGGGTTTTTTCATGCATTAAAATAATTCCATGATTTCAGACCCAATTAACATTTATGTTTGCATCAAGCAAACGCAAAATAGCTGTAAACAGCCTACACATGCTTGCTTATTTTGATTAGATAAGAATTTAGAAACATTCCAAATGTCACTTAAAGAGCAAAGGAAAAGATCAAAAATGCAACAAGATTTCCTTTTAAAAACAATTGATTTGGCTGATACCTCCACCTAGTGGTGACTAGTGTCTGTAGATTTCCTATTATAGCAGAAGTAAAAAAAATAAAATACAAAAATTGCAGGCAGGAGGACTTTCCTGGAAGAAGAGACTTTGTAAGTTTCTTTTTTTCTAACAACAAAAACAAAAAAATACTCTTTTCCATTTTTACTAGAACTTGTTTTGTGTGTGTGCACTGCCTATGACACATGCACAGAGAGTGTGCACCACTGAGGAACAGTCCACAGCTGTTAGTTCTTAAGGACAGCAAACGCAGAGGTAAATCTACTGTCAGGTGCAAGTAGGCTGTGAATACTTATACATTATGGCAAATATGGGTATGCATGTAAAGCACAGAAAAATCAAACATTTACTGTAGTCTTCATCACACTGACTGGGGCACTCAATTGGACAATACTAAAAATGCAGGGGGAGGGGGGTTCACTGGCAGTGATGTATGCATGCTCTGTATCCCCTGCCCCCTTTTAGATTGTATGCTCTCACGGGCAGGGTTCTCCTTACTGTATTTGTGTTGTAACTGTAATGTCCTCCTTATATTGTAAAGCACTGCGCAAACTGTTGGCGCTATAAAAATTCTGTATAATCCCGCACAGCAAAGGGTAACTGCTTATTTTGGTCTAGGGGCACAAATGAAGCAGATATACTTACTAGAGTTCTTCTTTAAAAACCAAGAGAATGTATTATTGCTTTAAACATATATGATGCAGGTCAATTGTTCAAAAGAAAACCTATTAAAAAGAAGTCTATAGACTCAAGGTGTTGCCATACCTCTTCCACCAACTGCACGCCATAATCCCTTTTTAGCGGCTGGATGGTCACTCCTCTAGCATTGACCAGCTGAGTTAAATCAATTGGTTGTGAGGGATCAACCCTTCCCAGGTCAATAAGGTACTGGAGCTTCTTTAGACTTAGCGGCTTATACTGGCGACGGTTGCTAAAGAAAAAACAATTCAGAATACATGAGCCATTAAATGAAAGTAGAGCCAAAGCTTGTTCTTCTTCTGGACTGAAGGTTTATTTCAGTCTGCCTTGGCCATCTTCAAGTTCAGGTTTCAAGCTGACTGAGGGGAAGGGCGTTAATCGGGAAGTTCTTATTTTATTCTCTTTGACAAATGAGAACGTCATGCAGACATTTTCAGTAGGAGGTGGTTAAGAGACATACGTGAAGAAGTGAAGTAGCGGATCCCGTAGGCAGATTAGTAAACTATAAACATTTGGTGTAAAGTTCCCAATTGGCTTCCTCCGTCTGTCTTTCTATACTCTATACATCAAGTCATCAACGGACAGTACAGCAGGAGCTACATGAAAACCTGGAAGCTCTCTTAGGGCCAGTTCACACTACAAAGAGTGCGCTCCAGAGCGTTCCACCAGTGGAGCGCAACCCGGCCGGCTCCCTCGTTCAGGCGGGAGGGGGCATGGCAGCGAATTGAAGTCAATGGCACCGCAGCCACGCCTCCACGTGATCCCCCCGCACCGGAACGCGTGGCACATTAGTGCCTGCGTTCCGGTCCAGTGCAAACTGCAAAAATAGTGCATGCAGCATTTTTGCAGATCGCACTGGACCGAAAGGCAGGCACTAATGTGCCACGCGTTAGGGTGCAGGCGATCGCACTGCTGGCTGGGGGGGTGGCTGCAGTGACATTGACTTCAATGTACTGCCCCGCCCCTGAGCGCAGGGAGCCAGCCGGGTTGCATTCCAGAGGCCGAACGCTCTGGAACACACTCTTTGTAGTGTGAACCGGCCCTTAATGTAGTCTGAGCTTCATAAAATATGGCAGCTACAGCATAAACTCTACACAGGGAATGCAACATGAAATGGACATTAGTATACACCGTATTTTGCGGCCCATAAGACGCACCGGACCATAGGACGCAGGGAGGTCCGGCGCGCCTTATGGAGCACTCGACAGACTGTAGCTTATGACAGAAGCTGTGACAGAAGCTGCAGTTAGTGACCGCTGAGACAGGTGGCGCTGTGATTACAGCACCACGGGCTCAGTGATCACACAGAGCAGACGAAGAAAGTCCGTTCTTCGTCTACTCTATGGTGATCTCCATCGTCGCCGCTGCTCGGTTTTAATACGAGTGATCTCATTAGATCACTCGTATTAAACGAGCAGTGGCTCCTACTACTGAATACGATCGCCGTCGCCGCTGCTCGGCTTTAATACGAGTGATCTCATTAGATCACTCGTATTAAACGAGCAGTGGCTCCTACTACTCGCCCAGCGCCCGGAACTGCATGTCTCGGGCGTCGGGATTCGCTCCATAAGACGCAGGCACATTTTCTCCCTCCTTTTGGGGGGAAAAAAGTGCGTCTTATGGAGCGAAAGATACGGTAGTTACAAAGATATTGAGCATTTTTTATAATGTGTCCTCTATATGTAGGTCACTTAGGGAATGTTTCATTTTTGAAGTTAACGTATATATACCTGTGTCCTTCATTGAATCCATACTTTGGGATAGCCAAGTAGAAAGGTGTCTGCCCGCCTTCAAATCCTAGACGAGGTTTGTTTCCTCTTTGGGTTTCTCCTTTGTGGCCTCTACCACTTTTTCTGCCACCATGTCTTCCACGACCTCGTTGTCTTTCCTTAGAACAAATGAGAATAAGTCATCAGAACAGAAACAATAGGCACAAATCCATTGAAAAGGAATATCTGACCCTAGCTATATGTAGAGCTGTATGAAATTAAAGTGAACCTGTTCTTTGACTGTGCACGGCAAAGCAATGGGCTCACTCTATGCCGATCCCCCAATCGTTTACACATACATTCCCCTTCATTCCCTGCTCTTCAATTAGCTAGAGCTGCAACAATTAATCGATTGAGTCGATTAAAATAGACGATGGAAAACGTTGCCAACGTTTTCCATCGCCGATTAGTCGGCTATCGATAGGTTAGTCCGTTAGGGGCTCCACACATGACCAGAGCCGCACGTCACACGCGCAGAAGCCACGCCCACCGCTGCTCCTCGCCTCGCTGTGAGCTCCCTCACTGCCGCACTCTTGATGGTGTGACTGGGCCCTCTATGCATGGGGTCAGCACTGAAGGATAAAGCAGCATTTTTTTCCTGGGAAGGTTAGTATTTTGGCCCTTCTGGTATTAATTTATTTTTATATTGCAACACAACTTGACAGATGAATGTAGTCTTCTGTATCTGGGCAGGACACATTTTGGTTGCTATGGCGACTAAAATAATGCTGTCCGGTGATATAGTCATTGAAGTCTCTACTTGCAGACATATTGACTGCAATTTCATCAGTCATCGCTAGGTGACGTCTGGAAGAAAAATGGCCGACGATCAACGCCTCTGTGTGTGCCTATGTGTGAGAGAGTATCTGTGTGGGCTAGGGGTCCCAGTACAAGTCTGTGTGCCAGCAGTCCTAGTGTGCATCTGTGCGTGTGCCAGCAGTCCTAGTGTGCATCTGTGCGTGTGCCAGCAGTCCTAGTGTGCATCTGTGCGTGTGCCAGCAGTCCTAGTGTGCATCTGTGCATGTGCCAGCAGTCCTAGTGTGCATCTGTG